GCTCCTCGCTCAACACGAGTGGCCGCGCCAGCACCTTGTCCCGCGGATCGCGCTCCTGCCTCCGCCGGCCTAGATCAAGATCATCACCAGCGCCTACACAACGAAGAAAGTCCGACTATTTTATTTAGCGTAGATTTACGTATCTATTTTAACCCTTCAACGCCCATTAATAGACGACCCACTTCAACAACAACGATATGGACTGATTGGCGCTAAAACATATGGTTATCAAGGAGATTTAGTGTTTTGTCAGCAGGCGATACACGAGCCTTTCAATTGTGAATGTTAATGACATTTATGTACACGTGCCGGCCCGGAGCTTGTAGAACTGGGGTGTAAGCGCAGTCGAGATAGAGTGTATTTGCTTTCATGGTACATGTAGTCGCTAAAACGCAATCCACAGGGTATTATCAAGGGTATACCCTTGGTATTATCGAGGTCGCACGGAACTCTTTGAAGCCATCGTTATCGTCCATGGGAGTCTCTAGTCTATAGTAGAGACTCCCTGGAAGAATCGCACCCCCAAAAGAATTGGACCGAACTACGTGTGCTTCAGAAAATGCGACGCATCTTGCAGCGAGCTGCATCGAAGGACTGGACCTTGCCAGTTGACAGATTCAGAGTGACACCAGCCCTCGACGGAAGCGGCGTGTTTGCTCTTGTAGTCAAAAAGAACCAATGCGAGGGGCGGTGCAGTATAGAAAAGAGTTGGGCGCCATCGGTTTGCATGTATCGAACTCGCAGCGAGGAGCTGTTAACCTCGTGCGGTGCTTGCATCATGGAAGCACTGCCATGAACCCAATATGTCATGTTGCGCGAGGAAACATCAAGTTTGTAGAATATGGCGGCTGTAGGAGCCACCCACTGCGAATATGCTTGCAGGGTCGACCATTTTGCTGCGCGTTCACCGAGCACCTGCCATGCACGTCGCAAGGTTGACGCCGGCGCAAGGCGCTCTCATTTGCTCGTGATCGAGGCTCGAGGTCTCTTCATGCAGTGCTACTGCAACCGCAATGTTGCCCTTCGGAGGCCGAATCATCGCATCGAACCTCAAAGCGGCTCGCCCGTCGCATCCGCGTGCGTGGCGTCCACACCTACAAACTTTCAGTTTAGTCGTACATTCGTGTACGGCATCGTACAACGCCGTAAACATTTTAATGCACCGTTCTCTGTCGGTTTGTATGCCACTAAAATAGCACCGAATCATCCGAATCAGATGTTTGAAATTGCCTTTCGTTCTCGCACCGAGTTATCAGAAGCGTTCGGGCAACTGAACGCGATGGCGCGGAACCGAACTGGATGATCATGACCATTTGTCTTTGATCCATGCACCGCAGCATCGACCACGAGGTGCTCTCGTCGCTCTATGCGAGCCGGAAGCGGTACACGGCGACGGGCGACGAGGACGTCCGGCCGAGCCTCGTGAGCGCGGTCCTGCAGTCGCAATACCCCGACAGCCGACGCCACCGACACAGCGCCCACCTCTCAACAAATGCGCTCCGCACCAACAAGTCGTGGAACTTTCTCGAGTCCTCCAAGCAGCTGCACAGTCCACTTGACGAAGCCTCGGTGGTTGCCAAGCTCACATTGGCATGGCTCAACCCGCTCTTCAAACAAGGCGCCACCGAGCCCTTGGACGCCGACGACGTGCCGTCGCTGCGCGCCAAAGACAGCATCGCGCTTCTTCACAAGCGCTTTCAAGCGCGCTGGATCCCCGAGCAGCAGTCGAACGCACCGCGTCTGTTTCGAGCGCTGCTATGGACGCTGGCACCCGAGCTCGCCCGTGCATTTGGCTGCCACGCGCTCTACCTCGTCATCAACCTCGTGATTCCGACAATGATCAAGGGCATTGTGTCGTACCTCTCGAGCGGTGTCAACCCTGTCACGAATGCGCCCGAGCAGCCGCTGGAGGCCGGTCTTGTCTACGCCTTTGGCCTTGCGGTCCTCTCGTTCCTGGGTGTCACGGTTCTCGGCTTCGCGTGGTCCGTCAACATTGAGCTCAGCAACTGCGCGCGGTCAATCGCCATGGACCAAGTGTACTTGAAGGCTGTCTCGGCGCCGACGGCCGCGACGACCACGTACACGTCGGGTGACGTCATCACGCTGGCCAACATTGACAGCGAGCGGCTCTTCCATGGGCTCACGTGCATCTGTTACGTGCTGCTTTCACCGCTGGCGCTGCTTGCGATTTTTGTGCTCATTGGCTTTGAGATGGGACCCATTGTCGCGGTCACAGGCGCTTGCACGATGCTGGGCTTCCTCCTCTCGGCGTTTGGCCTCTCGTACGCCTTGTCGGCGGCGCGGGAGCGCCTCGTGGACGCGACTGCGCGGCGCCTCTCGCGCACGCAAGAGCTTCTCCAGAGCATTCGGACCATCAAGCTCGGCGCATACGAATCCATCTTGCTGGACACGGTGTTCCAGCTGCGCGCGATCGAGCTCCGGTGCATCGGGTGGTTCCAGCTCCTCTGCAACGTCAACATCGACGTCTTTGTGCTGGCGCCCGTCTTTACGACCGTGGCCATGTTCGCCGTCGCCGACACAGCCGACGTCTCGGCCGGTGCTGCCTTTTCTGTCGTCAGTCTCATGGTCGTCGCGCGCTTCCCGTGCAACATCTTCTCATCGGCCGTGCGGTATGCCTCCGAAGCCATCGTCAGCTGCGACCGCATCCAAACATACCTTTTGGCGCCGGCGCCGAGCCGATCAAGTGCCGTCAACTCGAAAAATGATTGGATTGCACTGACACAAGCGAGCTTTGCGTGGTGTCCACCGACCGATGCGACGCCGCAGCCCTCGGCGAGTGGGCCAACGACGCCCGGTCTCGCCGCGCCGCTCCCAATTGCGTCGCCCCACGCGACGTCGCAGCCGCTTCTGCAAAACATTACGTTTTGCCTTCCGCGCACCGAGATGGAGTCCTTTACAGTTGTCGTCGGACCCGTCGGCAGCGGCAAGTCGAGCTTCCTCCGCGCCCTGCTCGGCGACATGTGGCCGCGGCCTGCAATCACTGCCAACATGGCATACGCGAGCCAAGAACCGTGGCTCTTCGACGACACAGTGCGCAACAACGTTCTACTGCACCGTCCGTACGTACCGAGCCTCTACCGACGCGTGCTTTCTGTCACCGGGCTCACCCTCGACACGGCAGCGATGGCGTCGGGCGACTTGACCATGGTCGGTGAGCGTGGCGCGGCGCTCAGCGGTGGCCAGCGCGCCCGTATAAACCTCGCGCGTGCTTTGTATCAAGTTGATAGTGCTGACATCTTCTTGCTCGACGATCCGCTCAGCGCGCTCGATCTCCATGTCGCGTCGCACGTCTTTCAAGAAGTCAAAAAGTTTTTACGCGGCAAGCAAGTGCTCATGGTCATGAACGCTCACCACCACTTGCTCGTGCATGCGACGCGCGTCATCACGCTCACGGTCGGCACGATCGTCGGGGACGAGTCCCCAGCCCGCCGGACGACTTTGTGCAAGCAAGAAGACGCGGACTCTCCGCATGACGACGGCGACGACGGCGGCGACGACGATGGCTTTGTGGTGCTGCCAGCCATGGACACCATTGCGTCGTCGGTGGTCGAGCTGTCACACCACGACACGCCAGCTGTGCTCGACACAACGACCAGCTCTTCTGCTTCCGACGACGAGGCGCCTCCAATCGGCACGACGTACTTGGCCTACCTCGGTGCGTCGGGCGCAGCCCCGTGGCTCGTGCTTCTGACGCTCGTTGCGCTCTACACTGTCTACCAAGTTGCGTACTACATCACGGACTGGTACCTCGACACGGCCGTCGCCGCGGGCAAAGGAAGCATGGGGATGTACGCGGGCTTGGCGCTCGCGACCGTCGTTGCGAGCTGTCTCAAGGATATGTTTGTCATCTTGGTCTCGCTGCGCTGCTCGGCCAGCGTGCACGCCAAGGCCCTCACGCGCGTCGTCGGTGCGTCCGTGCCGGCATTCTTTGATACGACGGCGCTTGGCGACATTCTCAACCGGTTCTCGACCGACCTCGCCGCAATGGACACGGACTTGCCGTACTTTACGTACCAGTTTGCGACCGACGCGTTCCATACAGCGTGTATCGTCTTGGTGGTGTGCTACTACACGCCGCTGCTCATTGCGCTCTTTCTCCCGCTCGGGTACCTCTTTGTGTCGTACCAAATGTACAACTTGCTCTCGGCGACGGCGTTAAAAGGCCTCGACCTAGCGTCGCGCGCGCCGCTCGTGACCAACTTGAGCGAAACCCTTGACGGCCGCGCGACGATCCAAGCTGCGCACGTCGAGAAGGCGTTTGTCGAGAAACACCGCGTCTTGGTCGACGCCAACGCGGCGTGCTATGGCATCTATTGGCTCGCGGGCACCTGGCTCGAAATCCGCCTCGGCTGGCTCAGCGCGCTCGTCGTCTCGGCCGTCGCGATTGTTATTGTGTGCTTGCGTGCGTCCATGGATGCGCACATCGCCGGTCTTGTCCTAGTCTACGTCATGAGTCTCTCGGCCAATGTCCAAGAAGTGCTCCGCGTCATGGGCTATGTGCAGACGTACACGACGTCGGTTGCGCGCCTCTTTGCCTACCATTCGCTGCCGGCCGAAGTCGACTTGGTCGCGGCGGCGGCGGCGCCGTGGCCCTCCCATGGACGCATCTGCTTTGACCAGTACAGCATGCGCTACCAGCCTCATCTACCGCTCGTGCTCTCCAACATTAGCCTCGTCATCCAGGGAGGCGAAAAGGTCGGTATTTGTGGCCGGACGGGTTCGGGGAAAAGCTCGCTCCTCTCGGCACTGATGCGACTCGTGCCGGGTGACGCAGGCTCCATCACGATCGACGGCGTCGACGTCACGACCGTGCCGCTCACGACGCTCCGATCGCGCATCACGGTGATTCCGCAGAGTCCTGTTCTTTTTGCGGGCTCGCTCCGCACCAACTTGGATCCAACGGGCGAAGCAACCAACGAGGCGCTGACCGCGGTTTTGGGCCAGATCCATTTGGGTCACCTCGGGCTCGACTTTGTCATCGAGAACGGTGGCAACAACGTCTCGGTCGGGCAGCGCCAGCTCGTGTGCTTTGGGCGTGCGCTCCTGCGCCAGAGCCGCATCGTGATCCTAGACGAAGCAACCGCGTTTGTTGACGCCGAGATGGAGGGCATCCTCCAGGAGATGCTCGCCAAGTGCTTTCGCCACACGACGATGCTCACGATCGCCCATCGGCTCCAAACGATCATCGACAGCAGCGACAAGGTGCTCGTGCTCGACGCCGGCGCCGTGCTCGAATTTGACGCGCCGACGACACTGCTCCGCGACGCCACCAGCGCGTTCTACCAGCTCGTCCAAGCCACGTCCTAGTTTACGTCATCTATTTGTTCAAAGTAACTCACCAACGACGCTCCGTACAATGAATTGTAGTATCTAGTTTCACACGACGTAGTGGTGGATACGTGGCCGCACGAGGCTTCGTTGCATGTTCTCGAGCTGCAGTTTCTGCGTGAAAGTCGAGGACGTAATCAAGCTCACACAATACAGATGTGCATTCGGGATGACCAGTCGCAAGTAGCTTTGATGCTGGCCGGTTACTCAAATTTTGCAGACGACGACAGCCGAGCAATGGAGCAGCGTAACGTGGTATCACGTACGCCAGGCATCAAAGCTACTCTGGTAATGGTGTACGCTGCGTTCTCTCGGTCGCGCTCCGTCACAACGAGGGGTGCGGGCATTGAGTCACCTTGTATTCTGTTCTCGATTCTACTGCATCGCGTCTTTTGAAGGATTTGAATGGAGCAATCGCAGTGACCACACAGCAAAATGTTCGAAGAGGCGCCGCCGCGGACGCTTGTATCACCGTTCACCCAAGCCTTCCTGTTGAGTGTCATTGGTTACAGCGTCTGCGGCGCTGCAACAGACACGCAGCAAAATGGAAAGACTCGCATATTGAGACCGTGGTCCATTCGATTACTTGCCTTCGGCAAAGCCGCCCCTTGCTTTTGTCAATCAAAGGCGCTGGTCACCCATCGACGCCGTCCGTAGAGTAACCGAAACAAATCAACATGCCGGTAATCTGCCGCGAGGCTGTCGAGAACGCTTGTCGAGAGCTCAGAACGCTCGTATTGGATGCATGTATAGTTGTAGAGTTGCATGTTCTTTAGCAGGCTGTCGACGGGCGCCGGGTAGAGTTGCATGTCCGTGCTCGCGGAAAAGACCTTCCTTCTTTTGACCGGATGCCATGAAAGAGCTGAGCGCTGGCCGATGTCACGTGAGAGCAGCCGCGGACTACGCATGATGGTCACGCGAGACGAGATTATTATCTCGACAATAGTGCAGCGCACTTGAGTCTCCTAATGCCAGAGCATGCGACATGTGGACCGTCCTACGGGCAACAATACGGACCATCACTCTGTGAATCGCCTTGGACGCAAATGACCGCCGCAGTTTGAAATTTGCACGCCATGACGTCGACCGAGTGCTGCTTCCACGGCTGCATTAAGACAGCGCTTGCAGGCTCGATCAAGTGCCACTTCCACCGCAACCGAACCAAGTGCTCGGTCCTCGAATGCTGGAACCAAGTGTACGCACGGCAGCGCTGCGTGAGCCACGGAGGCCGCAAGCCGTGCATCGTGGCCGGGTGCAACGCCAACGCTCGACTTGGAGACCTGTGCGGTCGCCACGGCATCAAGTCAGACAAGAAGATCTGCTCGATGCCGGGCTGTGCGAGTCTTGTGCACACACAACAGCGATGCGTCCGCCACGGCGGTGGGCGATCGTGTAGAGTTCAAGCGTGCGGTACCCTCGCGCGGGCAGGGGGCTACTGCTACCGCCACGGCAAGCAGTACCAAGCGACGGCGTCACCGTGCAAGTCAGACCATGAGTCACCACAGCTCGACGGCATCACGTGGGACGCTCGCTCGATGCAGATCAGTCTCGGCTACGAAGACAACATCGACCTATCAATCTTAGATTGCCTGATTTCCGATACGATGTCCGATGATATTTTGTACAATGCTACCTTTTCTGTTTGAATTTTACACTTTGGCGCCACCGTCAGTTTCAATGGGATCCATGTACGTTGGGAAGGAACGGGCGAGCGCGGACCAGAATTAAGCCACTTCGTAAGTATAATTTGCCTATTGCGGCACCAATGCTTGAGATCTGAAACGCAACGTGAGGGCTTTAAACACGATATCTCGACTGATTGGTTTTGATAACGACTTTATTCTCTAACGTTACACGCTAGATTGCTAAACCACTTGTTAGCCTTAGCAGATGGCGTCGATCGTCTGATAACAACTCAGTATCGATCTATCATTCTAACATTCAAACTACCCAACGGCTCAGGTCTTTGTGTCGACGTTTCCGATCCTGCCGACGCCTCGGGCACTCCGGGTAGTATGTGACAATCGTGTGCAGCAAACTGCATTCCATGTGCCATCTTGATACTCTCCTCGTAGCGCCATCGTGCGTGTACCTTGCCCAACGTCGCCCAACTCACTTCTTCGCGGCCAGGCAGTCGTTGAATCGTCCCTCCGACAGACTTATGCCAAGAAAGACATTGAAGCGAAACGCGTCTGCCATGGCGTGGCACACCGCTTCGGCGCAATCGACCGAAATAATTCTGCTTGCCTTTTCTAGCAGCGGTGTAAATAAAATAAAATAAATGATAAATCATCGGAGGCCCTGAGGAGGTGTGGAATGATGCCAAGTTGCAAGTAAATTGATGGTCGTTTG